CTCTTTGCCTAGTGCTAGATCCCAAAGACTTTTTCCTCCTGTGTTTTTTTATCTTAAAGTTTCATAGATTATATTTAAATCCATAGTTCATTTTGAGTTAATTTTTGTTTAAGATATGAGATTAGGTCAAGGTCTTATTTGTTTGTTTGGCTTATGGAGGTCCACTTACCCCAGTGCCAAACGGTGCAAAACTCTCTCTGCCACTAACTTGTTTTTGTACCTTTGTCAAAGATTGCTTGGGCATGTGGACATATTTGTATAGATCTACTTTTGGATTCTCTGTTCTGTTCATTTGATCTATGTCCCTCTGTCAACACTGCACTGTCTTGATTACTGTAATTGTTTAAAAAGACTTGAAACCTGCGCGGTGGCTCATGCCTGTAATCCTACCACTTTGGGAGGCCGAGATGGGAGGATCACCTGAGGTCAGGACTTCGACACTAGCTTGGCCAACATGGTGAAATCCCGTCTCTACTAAAAATACAAAAATTAGCTGGGCATACTGGTGTGCGCCTGTGATCCCAGCTACTTGGAAGGCTGAGGCAGGAGAATTGCTTTAATCTGGGAGGCAGAGGTTGCAGTGAGCCAAGATCACGCAACTGCACTCCAGCCTGGGCGAAAGAATGAGACTTAATTTAAAAAAAAAGCCTTGAAATTGAGTAGACTGGTTAGTTCTGTATTTATTCTTTTTTCTGAAAATGTTTTAGCTGTTGTAGTTCCTTTGCCTTTCCACATAAATTTTAGGATAATCTTGTCTATACAAAAAATTGACTGGAAGTTTGGTAGGATTTGTATTAAATATGCCTATCGATTTGGGGAAAATTGATCTCTTTACTGTGTTGAGTCTTCCAATCTGTGGACAGACACAGTGTGTCTTCTCATTTATTTAAATTTCCTTTGATTTATTTCATCTGCATTTCGTTTTCCGTTTCCAAGCCCTATACATGTTTTGTTAGATTTACAACTAAACATTGTCTTCTATTGAACAATTGCCAATGGCATTGTATTTTTAATTTCAGTGTCCATGTGTTCATTGCTCGTATATAGAAATATAGTTGATTTTTATATGCTCATCTTGTGTACTACAACCTTGCTGAACTCACTTATTAGTTGTATGAGTTTTACGTTTTATTTAAAGTTCCAATTATTTAGCACTTTCTGTGTGCCAGGCATTATGCTAAAGCTTTCTTGTACTTGTCCAAGCCGGTAAGTGGTAGAACTAGGATCTTGATACATAAATCATTTATCCACTTCATTAGTTCATTTCACAAATTCTTAAGCAGAGCTTATTTGAACCACAATGAATCTAGACCAAGATCCTGCCCTCCTGAGCCCACAGTCTGAAACTGGCAGAAGTAATACAAGTGATTATGTAGCTATGATATGTTCAAACTAAATAAGTAGATTTATTACAACTGAATGCATTTACTAGCTCATTCTGTAAGTGGGTGAGGCAAGGAAGGGCACCTTAGCTGGTCTGGAGTGGGGTGGGGGTGCCCAGAGAGGGCTTCCTAAAGAAACAATGTTGCAGGGCATGATGGCTCACACCTGTAATCCCAGCACTTTGGGAGGCAAAGGCAGGAGGATCACTTGATCCCAGGAGTTTGAGAGCAGCCTGGGCAACATAGTGAGACCCTGGCTGTAAAGAAAGAAAGACAGATAGAAGAAAGAAAGGAAAGAAGGAGAAAGAACCCATGTTAATTTTCCCAAGCTTATTGATTCTTAACTCACTTCAATTTTTGACATTCAGGGATGTCTGTGATCAAAGCTTATATGAAGAGAATTCTAAATGTTGTTTGCCAAAGAACCCAAGAACTCCTGGCCCAAATTGAATGCAGCTCTCCCCTCGTCTCTGTGTCCTCCTCACCTCCTTCACCTGCTGCTATCTCAACCTGGCCCCTTCCATCCGGCCCCTGAGCCCCGGACTCTGTGGCCTCCCCAAGCGGCCAGCACAGTCACGTCTAAGTCGACCTGACCGTCTGCCTGCTGGGTGCCCGCTGGGTGCCGCTGGGCGCC